AAATGCTGTGAGGTTGAAATTTAAGGAAGACTTGCCAGGAGGGTACTACTGAAATACTTTGCTTTGAGTCAGTTTTATCGATTTCAAAACAGTTTGTTGAGCTGGGTTGCTGTGTGTTACTTAATATTGAGTCTGAGCCATTTGTGTGAACTGCTGTGATATTTTTGGGACAGGAAACATTTTATCCTGATTATTTCTCACAGCCACTCCCATCTCTGCATTATCTAACCAAGGGTGTGTTGCAATTTCTCCTCTTACCTACTGTAGTGCTGGATCATGGGAAAAAGCTTGGGCAGAGGCTCACTTTAGACAGATGAGACAAACTGAAGGCAAACTGGGTCAGATCAAAATACTTTGCCTTGATTCAGCTCACAGAAATTAAGTGTTTCAATTCAGAAATACCAAACCACTTCATTTTTAAATCAAAAGTGTGGAAATAACATATTTAGCACTTGCTAATGTCATACTTTGAAGGCAGGGATGTGAATTTCTCTTAGGTGATAAAGAAATAGGGCTCTATCACCGTGCAACCTTCGCCAGCCTGGTGAGAAAAGGACTTCATGTTCAGTTTGAAAGAGGTCTGTGCAAAGGTTTAAAAGAGTGAATATTACAGCAGCATCTTTGGAAGTTTAAGAAGACAACATCAATACAAATATGGGAAAACGACCAGACATTGTAGCAATGGAGTAAAATTAAGTATTTCATAGCTACGTTAGAAATTTGCTGGGATCAGTCGCAGGACTGGAGCATTCATACAGCTCATTCTGTACAGACAGGCTTGGAGAAATGGAGAAGTGTTGTCCATGCTTGTCCTGAAGTTGGGGAATAATGAAGGACAGACTTGCCTGGGAGAGGATAGAAAGAGAAAAAGCAGAGCCTCTTTGACAGGTGGGTGTTATTTAAGCCACTTGCCTGGGACAAGTGGATGCTTTTGAGCAACTCTTAGAAGCAGTTATTAGTGGCAAAGGAATGCTTTATGTAGGTATTGCTGGGAAAGGCAATATAGCAAAACCCCCTTAATGTATCACCATGGTAGGAATATATTGAGGCAACTCTGTTTCACGAAGTAGAACTTATTAGGGAGATATTTTAACTGAGTTTTACCAAGGAAGATTTACTTGTTCACAGTATCACAGAATGGTTTGGGTTGAAAGGAACCTTTTAAAGGCCGTCTAGTCCAAACCCCCTGCAGTGAGCAGGGACATCTGCAACTAAATCAGGTCACTCAGAGCCCCAGTCCAGCCTGACCATGAATGTTTCCAGGGATGGAGCATCCACCACCTCTCTGGGCAGCCTGTATCATTGTTCCACCACCTTCATTGTAAAAAATTACTTCCTTACATGCAGTCTAATTTTGACTTATTTTATTTTAAAAACACCACGCCTTGTCCTATCCTACAGGCTTTGCTAAAAAGTTTGTCTCTAGCTTTTTCACAAATCTTCTTTAAGTATTCTAAAGAAGTGTTAATGAAGTTGGGAATCCAGTCAAGAAGGAGATTTGGATTCCTGGACAGATAGTGGGACAGATTTGTCAGACAGTTTGTATGGACCTAAATTGTACAATGATTTTAAAACGTAATTTCCAAGAGTAATTATATTTAACTAATGTAATTTCTCCGTTTATAGGGCAACTAGTATGCAGTAGATATCATATAGATGTTCTGATCTTGGTGTATCTCTTGATCTTGGCTTTCATCATCTTTCCTTCATTATATTCTGTGACTCTGCTACCAGTCAAAATCTGGGGGATAAAACGGGGTAATTTGACCCAGTCAAAATTGCTTGCTTGGACAAATACGAGGTGATAAAGTGAAGAAACACAGCTCAAGTGTTAGGAAAACATTCTCTAATTGCACGAGTAGTAGGATCATGGCATAGATTACTTAGGGAGAAAGTGGCATATTCTTATCTGAATTTTTGCAAGAAAAAGTGTGATGAGTTTTTCAGACATGGTCTAAGTTATTTATTCTGTTTTAGAGCAAGCAAAGAGATTAAATAATCCCTCCAGATCACTTCTAGGCATGGGTTTTTAAGATTCTCTTAAGTGGGCACTTTGGGGTCTTTTAAGATCACTGCTTCTTGGGTGGGGTCAGGACAAGGATAGACTTTGTACTGTGGAAATTTTCCTTAGGGCAGATGGTCATACAAGAAAAAGCTGTGGGTTTTACTGAAAAGAATTATTCTTTACCTTCTCTGCAGAACTTCAGACAAGAATGCCCAGCTTCCCAGGTTGAAATACTGTGCATCAGACAGTATAAGCATTCCTGGAAGCTACAACAGATTATGTGAAAGTGTTAAAATGTTTTTGCATTAACATAATTTTTATTGAAGAGTTGTGCTCCAATGATGGAGAACAAAGGAAGGGCACGTGATAGAAATGTGTAGTGTAAACAGCTCACATTGCTCCTAGCAATTGCATGGTTTTAATTGGGTAACAGATTATGAACTGTATTTGTAAAAATTATTCAGCAGTTTCAAAAACCACAAATATTTAGGAAAGCTGTGCCTTTCTGGAGGCACCTGGCAACCAGATAAAGAACCAAAGTTCATTAACAGATGAGTCATTGCTTCTATGTCCTTGCCTGAGATATCCACATAAAATCTCACTGACTTCAGCAGGTGATGTGGTCAGATTAAAGGAGAGTGTGGTCTCTTGGCCAGGTTCTGGCCTGACTTCAGGCTCACACTGATTTGTTGATTTTAAGCAAACAGAGAGGAAAGAGTGCCTCAACTGACAAGATTCATTAGCACTCCTCTTTCTCCCCTTCCTCTTCTCATCCCATCCCTCTCACTGCTTCATCTGCTCTTTGTAAGGCCAGGAACTTGCTGTCCTTTTTTCTGGGTGGTGACCACGTGGCTAATCTCTCTGCAAAGCCCTGGCTTGCTGGTGATATCCACATAACTTAATGGCCATCCTGGGCTTCTTCCTGATTATCCTGTCCTTGCTACGCGGATGATTGTTGCTCATGAAGCAGCGTCTGATTTACAAATGAAAAACTTTCAATAGTTCTCTGTATTTTATATTGAGTTACAGAAGTACGGATAGAGTTGACTACATGGATTTGCAACCAGCAGCTCAGCAGCTGCTTCATGAACCATCCTTCCAGGAGGGGAACATCACAAAGATGGGCGAGTTAGATGCTGAGAAGTGGGAATTGGTCCATTCATCCCAAGAGAAATCCTCCCCTGTTGTGAGTCAAAGCCTGCTATCTCTTGCCTGAGATGAGGGGAATCTCCCAAGAGCAGCTAATCTTGCACGACCTAATCACTTGAGATCAAACATCATGATATGGGGTCATTAGATACTTCTAAAAGTGCATGCAAACCTCATTCAAATTCCCATATAGTTCTAGCCAAAACACAAGCCAAATCATGATCCAAATAACCTCCTCCTCAGCCCACCTTCGTTGCCGTTCTGTTTCAGTGGCAAATGCAGCACAGAAAAGATGCCTGAATGCTTAATTCAGAAATTTACTGTTTAAGGCATTACTTGTATGAACACCAGCGTAACACATAGAATACCAATGCCCTAAATTTAGTAGTTTAGTCTGAGTCATTTTCACTATGTGGGAGGGCTGTGAAGACACTCCACAGAGTGGAGAAACTTGCTGGTGGTATCTGTCCAATGAGATTTTTTTTTAAAAGTCAGAACACAGCAGAACTACAGATATGTTTGTGAGTAAAATGCAGTTTAGTTGCAGGCTCCAGCACAGGAGAGGGGCGGTGTTGCTCTCCACCCACTTCAAAAGCTGAAGTCAGGTTTGACTGATATGTATCTCTGACACTGAAATAGGTACAGAATTTTTCATGACAGCAACACACAGACAGAGGTAAACACTCTGGCTGCGTGATTTGGAGGGACATGGTGTAATCTCCAGATTTGTCTGTGCAATTACATCTTATTTGCAGATTTCCTAGTGATAGCAGCTGAGTTGATACAATCCTGCATACAACCAACCAGATGGCAGAAGTCATCCCTGGTTTCATTCACTGAGGGGTGAAATATTGTTCCACTGAAGACCAGGTGACTTTTGCCACATAAGTCATCCAGCAGGGCTAGAGGTACACACACAGTCTTTGAAATAGATGTGGGCACGAGTCATTAGGTGTGGATGTGAAGGAGGCATTTAGACTTGGTATTCTGGACTGGTAACACCTTCCTGCCAGTCTGGGTTTTATTCTTGCTCCATTAGCCTTTCTGCATGAATGCAGCTGATTTGAAGTTGATACAAATTTAACAATTCCATTTTGGACATTCTTCCTGGGACCCTATGGAATGAAACTGCTCCTCTCCTCAAATGAAAACCTAACTTCAGTACCTTATTTTAGTCAGAATTGGTGATGATTTTATTTAGAATAAAAGTTAGTTCTAGCTCAACCCCTGCTCTCTGTGTTGAGAGATGAAGTAAGCAGAGATAAAGGATGTTTTCATGCACTGTATCCTGTCTGATATCAGCCATGGCAGATGTGTAAACATTCTCAGGTTTGACCCTATACCCTGATTCTCATGAGTGGTGCCACAGAGGTCAGGGCTCTGCTCACACAGACTGGAGGATTGGTTGTGATGTGTTTCATGGCAATGAGATGAACTCTGTTCCTAGAGAAGCTCCAGTAAAATCAAAAGCTTTTTAATAAGAAAAGTAGTTAGCTGCTATCCTAAACAAAGTAAAATGCCAAACAAAACCCTGTTCTTCTATTTGTTCCTATGCCGGCATTTAGCTGCCAGGAAAGACCAGTCTTATAAATGTGAAATCATATCCATGGCAACATGCAAGCCATGTTTAACTTTGCAGCATGTTAAAAGGTACATTAAAAAAAAAAAGTATTTTACTGTTGAGAATAGCAATTATGACTTTTAACTCAGCTATTTTAACTCAGCCTGAGAACATTGAGTGGTGAGGGTAAGGGCCAGAGGCACAGTTTGTTCTTCAGAGCACTTGTTGCTAGACATTCCCAGAAGGTATTATTGCTTAAATACAGCTTGTGTTTTCTTTACCCAGATTCCTTTAGCAAGGAGGATATGACAGGTTGTGGTATCGGACTGCAGTGAAGTTCCACCGGTGCTATTCTACCCTCCATGAGTGAGCACTGCTGGGCTGTGAGCTGGCAAGCTCATGCCCTTTTTTTGGGTAAGTACTGGGTTCAAGGAGCCTGCTTTGTGCTATGGCATCCTGGGACTATAAGCACCCTACTCAGGTGCTGTTTGGTAACTCCTGCATCATGCTAAAAAGCAGACATTGCTCACAGAGTAGGAGAGCAGCTGAAGTAGGGAGTAGACTGAATTAGTGTCTGGGCTTGAAAATGTATTGGGAAAAGTAACAGAAAGATCCCAACTTGGAGCAAAAGCTGAAGCTGAAAACTGCAGATGGTTTTCTTGCCTGTACGATAATGTCAAACCCAAAAAAAGGGAGTTTTCACACTCTGTTGTCTGTTTAGCACAAAGTGAAAATTATGTACTGGAAAATGGAGCCCCGTGTCTGGAGAAAGCAGCTCTGACTGTGCCTATACAATACCATACAGGGCTTTTTTGGAAGTTGGGCTTGACTGCTTTTGCAGAGGTCTCAGAAGCCTTATTTGCTGTGGAGTGAATGGAGGGAGGAAGAGCAATGGGATGTGTCCTCAGTAGTTTTTATCTATTGGCAGCTTCATGATAATGCCATTCAGAGTGAATAGTGCTAGGAATGTCTTCTAAAAACCAGAAGTTTCATCTTTAAGAGAAGCAGAACAGCCTGTGTTGGTTGTGAGGACAGTGCCAGAGGTCACAATGGCTACAGCTGGATTTCAGAAGGCATGGTGGAAAAGAACAGGATGTTCTGGTAGGTACTGTCATGTGTGTCTTGAAGCAAAAGGGCTGGTAGATGCAGTAACCTGAGTGTCTGGCTCTGAAAAGACAGCATCATCTTGGAAGAACACACATGTATTTGCTGTCTTCTGTAGCTCTTCATCATGGTTCTGGTTTCTCTCTTCTCTTTTGTAGCTGCACAGAAGTGAGGCAAAGATGATACAAGGTGCACTTTCTATAGAAATTTAACAGCATATATATTAGCATTTTTCTCTCTTTACAGAAAAATTGAGATAATGTATTATTATAACCCATCTCCTCACTATTTAGGAGAGTCTCAGACCTGAGTCCAGCTGGACAAGCCGGGTTAGACTGTGCTGTACCTTTCCATTTTTGTAAAGTGGACACAGATAGTATGTTCCAGCAGGATTAATGATCTGACACTGTACCTCAGTTACTGGAGGTGTTGATTTCAGTCTGGGGAGAAAAGTGTCTGAGATGCCTTGCTACTGAGCTGTCTGCATGCTGGTGTGAGGGAAGAGAATGAAGCACCAGGCAGTACCAGAATAGCATCCTGGGGGACTGAATCCACAGTAACTCTTTACATGGGACTTCAGTGAGAGTCCCCTGTTTCATAGTCTTTTCAAATATTTTATATTCAGGCACCAAAAATGAGAGCCAAGGAGCCTGAAGTACCTAATTTTGACAAGAAAGTTACTTTTATTTGTGGGAAGTTTCCTGAAAGGACTTCAGGAGTTATTCTGCAGTGAACTTTGGATTCTGCCTTGGATGGTGGTATCCCTTGTGGAATATGTGTTGCTCAGTCTGTGGAGTTGTCAATACAAGGCATATTGCTTTATCAGCCCTGTGGATGCTTTGGCCTTTGCTCTGGATCTTAGCTTTAGTCATACAACTCTTCTTTTGCAGGATGTTGGTATCTTTAGATCTGTCTGCTGGGTTCTTCCTGCTTTCATGCTGAAGAGTGGGTGGGAGAAGGTGGCCAGGAGTATAGTGTTGGAACGACCTTTTACTGATGGAGGCACAGTGGTGGTGTGTGCTGCCAACACACTCTGGCAGTGGATGCATCTATTTCAGCAAAGCTGTGCCTTCTGCTGTTCTGCTGCTCAATCTTGTGGAGCAGGAGAGAAATGGTACTTGCAGAAGCCTGGTTGGAGGGCAGTGGGGTGTGTGACAGCTGTGCAGGTGGACACCTCAGGTGGGGGTGCCAAGTGAGCCATGGGTTTTACCCCTCTCATTCTAGTGTACATAGCCACACGTGCTAAAGTCAGTTGTGCCCATGTAGCTGGGATGTCTTCTGCTGTGTCACTTCTTGAGGAAACCTCCTTTAACAGGTCCTTGAGCACTGGCTAGAACTGTGGCACCCATTGGGACACACGGGGACTCAGAGGCCCCATTAACACAAGGACTTTCCCCTAACCTTAGCAGACCTCAGCAAGACCTCCAGCACTTGGATCCTGAACTCAGACCAAATGCCTTTGTCAGATATCTTCGAGGGGAATTTGATAGAATTTTCCTCGTTTCATCCTTACGTGCCCACTGGTGGTCTCTTCTTTTGAAGAGACAACAGGACCCACTGAAAGGCTGTTTTTCCATGAGGGTAACTTCAGCATACTGGTGACAGCTATGGTGGGTGTCTAGTGAACCAAGAGTGTCAAAGCCAACATCTAAAATGACCTTTAGGCTGTTTACTCAAAGCAGTAACAGACTCGCCCCCGTCTTCCTGATAAGGCCATCACTTATCAAGAAATAAGAAGAGCAAGTGGCTAGATATGGAAATCATTGTGGGAGTGCCTAATTGAAAACACACAGCATCGTATAGAAGTAATACTATACACCAGTAACCTTTGCCTCTTCTGTGGAATATGTATGTGAAACCAGGAGAATTACCAGGTATTGGAAAAAAGTTAATTCCAACACAAATAGAAAAAATGTTCTTGGAGAGACAGATATGTATAATTTAAATCAAATTTCTCCTCATGCTCCATGCTTCTATTTCGTAGATATGTAGTAAAGTATCAGAAATCAACGCATTTCATCTCGCTTGAATGAAACATTTTAGAAGAGGAATCTAAAGTAAAATAAGATTAAGTAGACACTAAAAATCCAGTAAGCTCTTAATTTAATAGCTAGATATGTAGAAAGCTAAGTACCAAATAGAAGCCAATGAGTTGGTTTCCACTCTAATTTAGAAAATCAAGTTCTTTCTTAAAAATTTTTTTGCATAATCGTAAGACAAAAATATACTTCAATACATGCTTTAGAAAGTATTGGTATTTTAATGGATTTACCTCATTAAGCTATATTGTAGCATTTTACCATCTCAAACTAAGCTTTGTTTTAGCTAATGTTCACCTGATTTAGGTTTTTTTTTCTTTTAATTAATTTTTATTATTTAATTTATATTAATTTTTAATAATTTTTATTTGTGGTGAGAATAGCAGTACCATCTAATCCCACTTTTGTATTTGCTGGAGAATGTCTAGACTGGCTTGTGTGAGGGTTTTCATCCTGGAAGGTTTTAGTAAGATCCCTCTCCACTTGGTATATACGTCATATAAGTACTGAAACTGAAAGCTTTAGATGCGATACAACACCTAGTAATAAACTGTTTTAACTTTTTTTTTTAAGGGGAAAGAAATACCATCTTTTGGCAGTGTTTCCTCTCAAACCTCAGAGACTTGCTGATCTGCTGTGTAGATCTGTGCTGTGGTTGCAAAGTATCAAAACAGAGCTAAGGATTTTTATATCTACTCTTCCCACCCAGCACTCACAGCTCTTCCCCCTTCCCTGTCTGTCGGGTGGTTTCTGAAGGCGGTGAGGAGACAGGAAGGGAAGGGACACAGAACTGACCATTGGACAGATAAAAGGAGAATAGTGCCAGCAACTAAGCTTCATTTCTTTAGGAATACAGCCTGAAAACGCCTTGGTAATTAGAATGGATTACGAATATTTTCAGGTTTTCTCTGGGGGAGGTGAGGTGGGAAGCAAGGTAGAAGCAACTGGTTTCCATGTCAGATTAAGGAATTTGCAAGTGTTTGGGACAAATGGTTCCATTCTCTTTCTTAAACTCTGAGCTTTTTTAATGAGAATGATGGTTTTCTATTGTCTTGTGCTGTTGTGATACATCATGGGAACATTTGGAAAGAACACATGTTGGACATGGAGCCCAGTGGCAGCCAATGGGCCATGAAGGATAATGACATCCAAACCAGAACTCCAGTTAAGTCACTGGGATGTTAAATTTCTTATCAAATTTTGGAGTTTTCTTTGCAATTTTCTATGCAAATCAGGCACTTGGAGTGGAAAAGGTCATTTTGATAAAAATCCAACTTTTCACTAAAATCAGTTCTCTTCAGCACCCTGTCCCAAAATCTGTTATGTTCACAGTGTTCCAGAACAGCCTTGCCATCTGTCAGAAGCATTTTTAGGTAACAAATTATTCAACCTAACTGTGCCCCGTCTTTACCACACCAGTTGTGTTGTCTTTGAACTTCCTTGGGATAGACAAGCCTGAGGCTCACCACAGGCAGCAGGAATCTCCAGACACTGAAGGAGAAACTCCAGAGCCAGGAAATAGAAATGTCCTGAGGATGTGGGTGTTTCTGAAGCACCAGGCATCTCCTGAGTAGGGATGTCTTTACCTACTACTGCAGAAAGCAAGTGTGTTCCAGCACGGAGGTAGTGCTGTTCTAGAAAGGAGTGTATGTCTTCTTCTCCCTTTAAAATGGATCCTCTTTTGCATATTTTGTATTCTGGTAGGAGGTGGGAGGTCACACTCAGACTCTTCCTGACAAGATCCAAATTCATATTATCCACCCCCAGTTACTGCCTAAAACATATGAAAAGTTCGCAGATAAAGGATCTTTCTCTTTCAGCCATGTGTTCTGATCACTAAGCTGAGGATTCAGTCCTCTTAGGATCAAAGCCTGAACTTTTGTTTAGAGGGGAGTCCCCCTATCCAAAGCCTGGTGGTTAAGGCATTTCTTGAGAAGGTGAGAGACAAGGGTTTGAACTGCTGAATACTTTTCGTGCTTCTTTTCAAGAGCATGCTAATTACCAGGCTGTGATATGAGAAGCAGAGAGTGTTGCTACTATCAAATTGGTTACTCAGCCTGGTTTTCAAAAGCAAGTGGTCCCAGCCAAGTTTGAAGCCCCAGGAGTGCTGGGTCAGTGTCTCAGAGCTGTGCTGCCTCCAGTGTGGGCTCTCTGGGCTTGGCCTCTGGCTGGAAATGGGTTCTGTCAGCTGTGCGAGGCTGGGGAATAGCCGGGGCCAGCTGGGTGATATGGGAAGCAGTTAAAGGGCACAGATGGCTCTGGTGGGGGCAG